AGAAAATTGTGTAACTTTAAGAAAATGTTTAAAGAAATTTTGACACACTTATTTTGAGATTGACTCACTAAAATATTTTAGACAGAGAAAAAATGATTTTTCAACTGACTCAAAAATAATTTTTATCCCTCAGAAATTCAATTGTTTTGTGCAAAAGATATTGTCATCCTTACAAAAATCTTAGACTCAATAAAAATTAAAAGGTCTTCGGAGTCTTCACATCACTTAAAAAATCTGCGTAGGGGTGATCGTCAATTTTCATCGCCGTAAACTTCTTGATACACCTCTTTTCTTTTCTCGGTACGAAAAGTAAATTTTCGATCATCGTTTGAATTTCATCATCCTGTTTGTCATTTATCAAAACAAAAAATATTCCAGAGAAAATAATAAAGGGGTTTGAACTCATGTCCAACAGTTGAAACCATGTAAGTTGAATATGTGAGCTATTAGTAGAAGTTATTGTCTTTTGTCTACTATAATGCATTCTGTCTTTCATTTTGTAGTAGCGCATCATTCGTACGAAGCCATGGTTAATTATATGGATGATCATGTTATTGAAACAATTGACACTGGCGGAAGTGCTGTTGTTAATGTTGTTAATGTGGGTCCTGGGAATGCGTTTGATCTCAAGGAAGGGCTATATGTATTTAAAAGAGCCAGACACAAATACTATAGTGATCTTAGGGTAATATTGATTGTGCATGTCGACTTTCTCACATTTGCGAAGTGTTTTAAAGAGAAATAAACACCTAAATAGCTCTTGTTTATTTTGTAGGGGGAAGCTATAGCCATGAAAATTTTGCGGTATCCATGCATGCCTCGCTTGTTTTGCCTTGCTGAACTTAACGAAAAGTCTATCATCCTCGTGATGGAGTATGTTAAAGGATATACTCTTCAAAATATAATGAATGCAGGTATGATAATCATGCTCTATGAGCAGCCCTTCCAATAAAGAAAGATATTTTGAGTCTCACAATATTTGTGAGACTTCAATTGATCTTGTGCGATGTTAAAACTTCTGTGTAAATTTTAGTTTTAGATTTAGGCATGATAGTATTCCTCATTGACTTGATATTTAGACTCTCTTTTCCAAGCTACACATTTGGGACTAATTGATATTGTTACAATCCATATATTAGCTTTTAATCATTGGATCATTTAAGTCTTTATTAATATGCTAATACTTTCTTAATTATTTAGTAATGATTCCATTAGATAAATGTTTATTTCACATTGAACTGATAAAACATCATTGTATAGGTGGGCTAAATTATGAGGTTATTGTTCGCGTTCTGAGAGGAGTGGGATATGCATTTCTCTGTTTGCTATCTCATAATCTCGTGTACTCAGACATGCGACCGCAAAATGTTATAGTTCCCCCGGTACAGAAAAAGTTTACATTGCACACGTTTACATATTTTTTTAGTGAAAGTTGCATTCGTAATATGTCAATGTTAGTACATGACTGATTTTGTTTGCAACATGTGGGGTCTACAGGATGGTCTTGCACACTTGATCGATTTCGGTCGAGTTAGTGTTGTCAACGACGTTGATTGTGGTGAAGAAGGCAGTTACTCTAGACCCGACAGTAAGAAAATTATATTACTTTAGTTTTCTAAAATATTACTCCCTCCGTTTCTGAAAACAGTTCCTCTTTTGACTTTGGGTAAAAATAAGAAAAGTGTAATTTTAGTTGACTTTCCAATTTTGCCCCTGATGTGATGGGTAAAAGTAAGATGTGATAGTTTAGTTGTTAGTGAAAAAGTATGATGTGATATGTAGAGTATGAAAAAGTAGGGGTAAAAGTGGGTTTTTAATAGAAAAGGGAAGTGTTTTTAGAAAAACAAAAAAAAAATGAAAGAGGAAGGGTTTTAAGAAACGGAGGGAGTATATCTTAACCTTTAGTTAAGTAACTTTTTCTTAATTGTGATTGGATGTCGTACTTTTTCTAAGGCTTCTTACTCCTTTTGTAGGTGGGCGAAAATACCTGTGTAGGCTAGCGAGGGTGGATAAAAGGGATCCAGTATATAAGATTGGAGTCCTGATATTCCATTTGATTACTGATCGACATTTTGCGCTAGGTCAGGTATTAAGAGCTGGAAAAGGAAATCACGATTGGAATAACCATCTTGATGTAGTTCAGGCCAGAGTTGACCTTAATGAGGTGCAAGCAAACAACCTCATCAACTTAGGTCTGGACTGCATCTTTGCAGCTGATAGAGGGGATGAGCCGATTTCTTTGGAGGCTGTTATGCATAGGCTGAATGAGTTACCAGAGTACCGCCCATTGTAAGACTCAATTACTTTTCTACTTCATGAGTAGTACAAATGGAATTTGTTGTTTAGAATGTGAAATGATTTTGTTTTGAAACGCCTGAAATCAAAATGGGTAGCGTCTCCCTAATAGTACAAGGCTCAATAAAGTTATCTCTCACGGTTGAGTTTTGTTGAACTTCCTTAGCTTGGTTTCCATTCCATTAGCAGGGCTTGCAAATATCAGGCATCCCCTATCCACAATCTTTTGTGTGTGGCTTTCATTTCATTCATATTTGAGTTCTTAGGTTTTCCATGCTTTTCCATCATTTTGAAGACCCTAGGCTTTACTTCTTGCATGCAAATATCTTTTACATTTTTTTGAAGTTGTTTATAGTGCTTTCTATTGGGGTTATGTATTGCAGGTAGTTGAAGACTTTTGAGGAAATGGATACTCTAAATCATAAGATAGCGGTGAGCTTCAGTTGCACTAACCAACATGGGCACATGCTACTTTAAATTTGGTACCATCTGCTTGTAGCTCTAATGTTAGAGTTTATTTTAGGTATTCGTCCATGGCTTAATTTCTTTTCAGAATTGCTTATATGTGTATTACGGAGTATACATTTTAAGCCACATTTTCCATTAGTCTTAGCATGAGAATCATTACTGCATGGGAGATTGAGAGCGCAACCTACAAATCATGACGTATTATTTGAATCATTTGTAAATTTTAATCTTCGATGGGATCCCACTCCGTTGTTGTAATCAACAATGGCTGGAAAATGTAGTCTATTTTGTTCAAATTAGAAATATAGATAGGCCTTTGATCCCTTGCTAACTTGATCCACTCTATTCTCACTCTCCTCTCATATCCTCTTTCATGCATCTTTCTTTAAACTCCTTGTCTTTCTCATACTCTTCCATTTGTTCACTCCCTTTTATCCAAAATATAATTAATGTGGATGTAAATATTCTTTGATACCAATAACCCTTTGAATCGCACGAGAGTAGAGTTTGGGTTATGCATTTGTACTATTATATTGGGTTGTTGGGCAAATGTGTGAATCATTAAGAGCTTAAGAGCTACTATATTGCTTAACTATTTAGAGTCAAATGTCTGATCAATTCAGATAAGAGGTCTTAACCATTCAGACTCTGTATAATACTTAACCATTCAGAGGCAAATGTCTGAACCATTCAGACATTTGCTCATGAAACAAACGGTCTGAACCATTAAGACATCTGAACCATTAAGAGGTTGAAACAAACAGCCCCTAAATGTTGTATCTGAAATATCTCCCTCTCCACAAACACAAAAATTTACAAGTAAAATTCAAAAAACATTAATAAATAAAAACCAAACAAAAATAAATGACAAAGAAGGATGTGATTTATCAAGAAATGACAAACATTAATAAATTTTATGAAGACTCAAGAAGGAGAAAATAAAAAAAAGAGAATATTATAAACCTTCCAAGCCAAAGAAAGAGCGACATAAACAAAAGTAAGTTTCTTTTTTATTGGGATAAGATTTTTTGTTTTAATTTTAATTGTTTTAAAAAATGAAACCGTATCCCATATGTGTTTCAAACTTTCAATATGTTTTAGACTTGGTTTGCATGATTAAATAATTTTTCAAAATTCCTTTTTTATACCTCTTAGAAAATAATCTCCAAAAATTTATGAAAATAAAGTTTTTTAACGTGCATCATTTACGTGGAGTTCTTTTTTTAGGGGAGTTTTGTTGTAAATGAATCTTTTTCCCAATTATCTCTAAATTATCATTTTTTTCAAAAAATTCACTTTGAGGGAGGGTTTTCAAGAAGTTATACGTTTTCAAAATTTTCAATATGTCCTTTTTGATTTTGACAAAAGGGGGAGAATATGTATACTTTAAATTGATGCATCTGCAACTTAACTTGAGTGCATTCTTGTGTGATTATTTGCATCAAACTTAAACTTTTTAATAAACACAAGAAAAGTTCAAAGTGAGTATTTTCAATATGCTTACTCTTAGGGGGAGCTTGATTGCTTCATTATTTTACTCCCGCCTAACTCACTTTGAAGTATATTGTTTTCCAAGATAAAAAAGGGAGATATTGTTAGCCTTGGTTTGCTAAAGCCTCGTATTTTGATGTTAACAAACAATATAAGAGCTAACGTTTTTTTAAAGTGTTTTAGTTACAACAAAAATCCATTAAGATTCAGTTATCAAAAATAAAGTCGAAACACTAAACTAGCATAGAATATAGATAGAAACTATTGTAAGAATATGATATTATATACCTAGTGTGTGTGTGTGTGCGTGTGTGCGTGTGCGTGCATGCGTGGGTGTGTGTGTGTGTCACGATTTGCTTGCGCGATCGGGTTCAGAACGGCGAGCTCTACAATGTACTCCGTAGGATAAAACCCTCATTCATTTAGGAAAATTAGAAAATAATCTTCGTATTGACTGGCCAATAACTAATTAATTATATAAATTAATTAAAATACTAAGCCAGATTTTGGGGCGTTACATGGGAAATGTATATAGGTTGTTTTACATATAGTAAGGGGGAAGTAATTTTTTGTGATATATGTGTGGATCTTTTTGCATGCCTTATTTTTTAGGGGGTAGATAGCATACTTTTAGGGGAAGTATTTTATTTTTTAGAAATTCATGATTTTAGAGGGAATGCGATTTTTCTTAATTGTTTAAAACTTTTTTCTCTCCGCGAATGCATGCATTCTTTTGTTGCATTATTTTTGATAATGTCAAAAAGGGGGAAGAGTATAAGAGTATATGCCTTTAAATTGTTATTTGTTGATAGCATATCCTTCATGTGTTTTTCATTATCAAAACGTGACACATAAACTTTCTTACAAGTTGATCTTGCAAGCCCTATTGTTCGGACCTTGCAGTTGTTGAAAAAGCTTGACCTTCGAATTAACAAAAAAGTCACCACGAGTGCAGTAGCAATATTGGCCTTGCAAAGATATACCGTGCAAAAATTCACAAAGTGTAATTGTTGGTTCATATTCAACAACCAACTACATAGTGGATTTTGAGGACGTAGAAGGATTACCCCACCTTCGAACCTCGTTAAAGTTTGCGTGTCTTTCTCTATCTTTACTTTGTGATTATATTAAGTGTGAAACTAACCAATCCATATTGATTACTGCTTCAACAATCCACCAACTTCCGCACACAATCTAAGTTTAAAAAACTTTAGATTAACAACCTTTTCACGTTTTCAAAAAGAAACTAAAAAGATTTCAAACTTGTAACAAAGTCTATTCACCCCTCTAGACTTTGTATTTCACCACTTAGGGGACCACCAATTCATATAAAATTCAATGTATGAAAAATACATGATTCATTTTTTTAAATATTGTTTTGTTGTGTATATCCAATGCAAATATTTTTTGCGTTTTTTAAAAAGTAGTAGGTGTAACTTCAATGAAGTCAAAACTAAAATACTTATGATTATTTTAAAATGTTCTTGTAATTTTTCTTTGTGAAAACCCTTGCAACTATATTTGTTTTTGCTATTAAAATATAAATTCATATCAAGTGGAAAAAATTTTGGATGTAAAATAAATGTGATTATTTTACGTGATAATTTTTTAAAATTTTATGTGAAAAAATGTAACTATATTTCTTTTCTTAAGATAAACTCTGAAACTCGCGAAAAAATCCACCCCGTATTAATTTTGTCTCTATGAATTCTTTCTTCACATTGAATTTTTTTAGACACAAAAAATATTTTGAAAGACACAAGAGTTCTATTTGCTTCATCTATATTGTTTTTATTTTATACAAGTTCTTCGTACCACCAATGTTTTTATCATATACATTGGTTCTGACTTGGATTTGGATGAAGAGAAGCTTGAATAAAAAGATGGAGCAAAGATTAACACTTTCGACCATAAATTGCAAGTGGAATGCTTCCAAAAAAGAAATTGTATGCTTCAAAAAAGAAATCGTATATGAGAGTTTAAACGACGGTAGTGGTGCCAACGACTAGGCTACTACGGCCACTTGGCGATGATGACCGACCTCTTACTCGGAGACTAGAGTAAGAGACGGTGATTGTGAATTCAAAGAGAAGAAGAGCAGAGGCAACACAAGTTTGGGTAGGGTTTTGCTTTGGTGGCGAGATCCTCCTATGAGGTAGTGATGTGCGACAGAGGTTGTCAACCATAGTACCTAGATTTATTTTACTCCGTACTTTGTAATGTTTAAAGAACTCCTATATTGTAGGGGTGGGCAAAAAATCCGAACTAGCATGGTACCATACTGAATTGTAATTGTACCATACCATTTATAGTGTTTTTAAACGGGATTGATTTTTTCATCACGAACAAAAATCGAATCGATATCAAACAGGACAGTACCGTGATAAAAATATTTAAAATCGATTCTCACAGACTGAACTATTCAAAGCTATATACGGAGTATCTAAAATAATTATTTGTTTACTTCATCTTACCGTATATAGAGTACTTTGTATGGTATTAGTCATTTTTAAAATTCTTTCATTAATATTAGTAATATTACATTTATTACTCCTATTACAATTAGTCTTTAGAGTTATTATGGGGTAATAGTATGATATTGTATGAGTTGAAAAACAATCTATTTTTAAAAGTTGAACTCGTTATCTTTTATTCTTTATGTTTATGATCTTTTCAAATTTGAAATCAATACTTCTATGTACTAAAGTTGTGTTTTTGGATACAAAAATATGCTTTTATTTTAATATTTTTTGAGTTGATGATTGTCCTTTTTTTGTCACGGATTGAGCATGGGTATTGATGGATTAGGGATTTTACCTAACCCAATATTATTTAAACAGTAAAAGTAAGCCCAGTTCTGTCCAGTCCAGAATATAAATCAGATAAATTATTCAAGACAGAACCAGAGATATATAGACAAGAATATATTTGAAGTGATGTAAAGATATTCAGCGAGACCCGTAAAACATTATCAAATGGAAACCACATGGTCTTTACATGGAGGAAGTCCTCTTTTGTCTCCATCAATCACTCCCTTCCCTCCTTTAAATGTGAAGCTACATAGAGGAGGAGAGGAGGCCAAAATTCCTACAAGTTCCTACTACTATTCTCCATTCTTCTTCTTTTTTAAGCTTGGAGCTCCATTAATGGTTGCAATTGAAAAAGCTTTTTCCATCATTGGTGCCGACCGTGGGACCTAGTCACAAAAAACTTTTGTGCTCCGTGTCCATAATGGAAAGAAAAGTGGGAGAGAAAGAACAAAGAAAAAGTGGAGAGGGACTTCACAAAAAAAGAATGGAAGTAGTGAGTAAAAAAAGAGCAGATTTGAGATTGGCCAAGAAAGAGGGAACCGTAGAAAAAGAGGAAGGGAAGGGAAAAATCAACTCTTATCCGTCCGATGAGTTCCCTCACTACAGCAGTCCATTCCAATTTCATGGGTTCTTCAAATGAACCGCGCCGGCCTCATGTCGACCGTTCCAACTTCTAGGAACCATCCAAGGGACGTCGCTACCATTAAGAGGTCCATTCCAGCTTCATGGGTCCCTCAAATGGACGGCGCCGGCCTCAAGAGGTCCGTTCCAGCTTTTTGGGTCCCTTAAATGGATCGCGTCGGCCTCTAGTGGGCCGTTCCAACTTCTAGGATACATCTAAGGGACAACGCTAGCCTCCAGAGATCCGTTCAAGCTTCATAGGTCCCTCAAATGGACGGCGCCCGCTTCATGTGGACTGTTCTGAAAGAATTGTTTAGGAGGAAAATCTCTCGTATTATTTCTGTGTGTCAATATACAACCATGAGTTACATATATAGTGTAGAGTTCTAGTTAATAAAGGAAAGGAAATCATCACTATACAAGGAAACTACTAAAATAATATATACGAAAATATCTCCCAAATCTTCTCAATCTTCTCTTTCCTTTTACACCTCCCCTCAAGTTGGAGCATGTAACGAAGAAATGCCCAACTTGGATATAAGAAACTCCAGTCGTGACTTCCCAAGTGCCTTCGTGTGAATATCCGCAAGCTGGTGCATAGTAGGAACATGAAGAGCACGAATCTCTCCGCGTAATAACTCATCACGAACGAAATGATAATCTATCTCAATATGCTTCATTCGTTCGTGAAAAACTGGATTAGAGGCAATGTGAAGTGCCGCGGTACTATCACAGCGAACCGTCATAGGATCCGTATGCTCAACTCCTAAACATCGTAATAAATTCTTCAACCACTTCAACTCACAAGTAAGAACAGCAAGAGCCCTGTACTCAGCTTCAGCAGACGAACGTGCCACCGTTGTCTGCTTCTTCGTCTTCCACGAGACCGGTGACTCGCCAAGTTGTACAAACCATCCCGTCAGTGACCGCCGTGTCAAAGGACATGCTGCCCAGTCCGAATCACACCACCCGGTAAGCTGAAGGCTACTATCTGCAGAAAGAAAAATGCCCTGTCCAGGACATCCTTTTAAATAACGGACTACCCCAAGTGCCGTAGTCCATTGATCCTCCCTTGGTTCCTTCAGAAATTGTGCTAGAGTATGCACGGCATAAGAAAGCTCTGGTCGTGTAACAGAAAGATAGACCAATCTTCCTACCAACCGTCGATAAGGTTCTGGGTCTGCAAGAACTGGGGCTTGGGAACGAGCCAAATGATGATTGGGCTCCATTGGGGCACCCAATGGCCTGGCGCCCAACAACCCCGCCTCAGTAATGATGTCTAAAGCGTACTTTCTTTAGCAGAGAAAAATTCCAGATGTGCTCCGTGCTACCTCGATGCCAAGAAAGAACTTCAAAGTCCCCAAATCCTTCATACGAAAACAATCTGCCAAATAATCCTTGAATTTGCGTATCATCTCGGTACTATCACCAGCAATGATCAAATCATCTACATAAACCAGAACATGGATCACTCCTTTCTTTCCAACGAAAGAAAATAAGGAGTAATCGGAGACGGACTACACAAATCCATATCTTCGTAATGCTCCCGATAATTTTGCAAACCAACATCGTGGAGCCTGTTTCAAGCCATACAGAGACTTCTTGAGTTTGCACACCATATCGGACGAACTCGAGAAGCCAGGCGGCAACCTCATATACACCTCATCGTGAAGATCTCCATGTAGGAATGCATTGTGAACATCCATCTGATGCAATTCCCACCCTTTGACCGCTGCAACTACCAAAAGAGTTCTCACAGTAGTCAACTTGACTACAGGAGCAAATGTTTCTTTGTAATCGATGCCTTCAATCTGGTGATTGCCGAGTATAACAAGCCTAGCCTTGTATCTTTCCACACTGCCATCAGATTTGCGCTTGATTTTATACACCCATTTGCATCCAAGAGCCTTCTTATGACGCGGAGGAGGAACAAGAGACCACGTCCCATTAGCCTCTAGAGCATCAATTTCTTCTCGCATTGCTTTCCTCCATCGCTCATCCTGGAATGCTTGTTTGAAGTTTCTGGGCTCGATGTCTTTTTCAAGTGCCATGAGAAAACACTTATGTTTCTCAGAAAACTTCTCATAAGTAACATAGGAGGAGAGCGGATATTTGCACTTTCCCTCAGTAAGTGGACCGGCCACATGTGTAACATAGTCCGCAAGCCTCACATTTGGCCTCCTTTCCCGTTGGCCACGCCCCAAGGTCTCTGTTGCTTGCTGGGATGAGGACGGTCGACCGCCATCCGTGGAACGGTCCGGGGGTCAACTGTCTGTGATGGTTCCTCACTGCTTCCTTTCTGCCTTGGGGACGGTCGACCGTTGTTCTCATCACGGTCGACCGTTTCTTCATCTCCCTGGAGTCTGTCTCTCTGCCCCTCGAACGGTCCACCATGTCTCTCAGAACGGTCCACCGAGTCGACCGTTGGTTGATCTCCCAGGGTTCCATCTTTCTGCCTCGATGACGGTCGACCGTGGACATCAGAACGGTCCACCAGATCGACCGCCTGTAGCTCAGCTGCTTTGTTGCCTTCTTCCGGTTGACCGTTCCTCTGTGGACGGTCCAGCTGCTCCTCCGCCGGCACTTCATCATTATAGTGATCAACTGGAGTGGAGCTACTTGATCCATCTTCATCTAATGTTTCACCTGTAGTCATCAAATAAGGAAATATGTTTTCACAAAACACAACATCCTGCGATACGCTTATTTTCCCAGCGTCTGGAAAGTATACACGCCATCCCTTCTTTTCTTGTGGATAACCCAAAAATATTCCAAGAATACTTCTGGGCGCAAATTTATCCCCATCTCTCTTCAGATTATGAACGTAACATCTGCAACCAAAAATGCGAATATGAGTCAGTGCAGGGGCCCTTCCATAAAGTTTTTCGTACGGCGTAACCACCCCAAAAAGAGACGAGGGTGTCCGGTTGATTAAATATGCCGCCGTTTGTATGCATTCTCCCCAGAACTCGATCGGAAGCCCTGCCTGAAATCTCAAAGCACGACCCACATTCAAGATATGCCGATGTTTACGTTCAACTCTACCATTCTGCTGTGGCGTAGACACACAAGATGTCTCACGAACAATTCTTTTTTCCAGAAAATATTCTGTCAAGCATTCAAATTCTGTACCATTGTCACTTCGAACACACTTTATCCTCTTCCCAAACTGACATTCAACCATGACACAAAATTGCTTAAAAACACCTCCTACGGTACGCTTAGAATCAAGCAAATATACCCACACACCACGTGAAAAATCATCTACGATAGTCAAAAACATTGTAGAGCCATCCAAACTTGGTGTCCGATAAGGACCCCACAAATCACAATGCACCATATCAAATTTATCCATAGATTGATGAAAACTGATAGCAAAACTAACACGAGTTTGTTTAGCACGCAAACAAACATCACAACAACTATGACTATGTTTATTCAAACCAACTACAGGAACTAAGGACAAAACATGTGAAGAAGGATGTCCTAGACGTTTGTGCCAGAGATCAAACGAATTCTTCTTGGCAGCACTGCACACCATGCTCCTCTCCTCCTTCTTCAAATAGTACAATCCTCCTTCAAGTCTACCCACACCAATCGTTGTCCTCAAACTTAGGTCCTGTAAGATGCACAAATTATTGGTAAACTTTGCCTTACAGTTCATATCTCTTGTCAACTGTGACACAGAAATCAAATGACAATTCAAGGTTGGAACAAACAACACATTCTGCAAAGTCATAGTCATAGTCAAGTCAACCTTTCCAGATTGAACAGACACAACCCTTTTTCCATCGCGTAATCCAATTTCACACGGAGACACACCCACCACATCATATAACAATGAAAGATCACCTATCATATGATTCGACGCACCAGTATCGATTATCCAACGAGGTGACACATGAATATCTGAGAGTTTTGGTGAGTTGTCTGTAGGGGAGAGTGAGAGGGCATGACGAACAGCATTCCACTGTTCAGGCGTCAAGTCCTCAAAGTTTGGCAGCGGAGATGGTCCTTTTTCTTCTCCTTGGACAGCATGAGCTTCACCTCGTCCGCCCGTGACGGTCGACCGTCCAGCCACCACGGTCGACCGTCCGCCGCCCCGTGCAGTCCCACGGCCTCTTCCTCGGCCGTTACCTCTTCCTTTTCCGGCCTGATTGCGGAATACCCAACCTTCGGGTACCCAATCAGCTTGTAGCATGCCTCGACCTCATGCCCTGTTTTCCCACAGTGGCTGCACACAAGTTCTTTGATCTCCATCTTATTCTTCACGGCAAACACGGATGCACTCGCTTCACTGGTTTCTCCTTTGTGCATACCATTTCGTGCTATCTCGTCTTGGACAAGAATATTGTATATTCTTGCCACCGGTGGTATGATATCTTGGGCCAACAAATTTGACCTCAAAGCTCCATACAAAGCATCGTTTAAACCCATCAAAAATTGATGAGAGCGTTCCCTCTCACGCATCTACGTAAGTTTCTCTGACAAATCACACGCGCAATTCCTACACATACAAGTTGGAAAACTCTCTAAATCTGCTAGATCATCCCACAGCTTCTTCATCTTCCCATAATATTCCATTACGGAAAGATTCTTCTGTTTGCATTCCGCCAAGTCCCGCTTCAGCTGCTGAACCCTAGGTCCATTAACTACAGAGAAGCGGGCCTTCAGTTCATTCCACAGATATGAGGCTTTCTCCATGAACGATATGCTCGATCTCAGGGTTGGATCAATCGTGTTTCGAATCCAAGAGACCAAAAGCGAATGGTTCGTCCACCAATCATCAAAATCTTCATCTTCAGGGCGGATCATGCATCCCAATTGTCCCATCAACAAATCCAAACTTCTTGCGTGCTCGAATAGCCAAACGCAGAGATTTGGACCACTCATCATAATTATCTCCCTTGAGAACAACATGGGTCAAAATCATTCCCGGATTGTCGCTCGAAGATAAATCATAAGGAGAGATACGACGACGTCGCACCCCGACCTCCTCCTCCTCTCGTTCTTCATTCTTCTTATTGGAAATTATCTTCATCGGTGTTTCTCCAGACATATCAGATGACAATGTTCAAAATTTGGATCGAAAACAGCAGCGATTAAGGATACTACCGTCAGGACGGTTGATGCCTTCGACCGTTATGCAAGCACGGTCGACCGTTCCGGTCTTCTTCAGCAGTAGCAACAGGCAACGATCGATGGACGCGATGCCGGGCGATCGTGAACAGTAATTGCGGAAATTCCTAGAGTTTAGGCTTTGATACCATGAAAGAATTATTTAAGAGGAAAATCTCTCGTATTATTTCTATGTGTCAATATACAACCATGAGTTACATATATAGTGTAGAGTCCTAGTTAATAAAGGAAAGGAAGTCATCACTATACAAGGAAACTACTAAAATAATATATACGAAAATATCTCCCAAATCTTTTCAATCTTCTCTTTCCTTTTACATGTTCCAACATCTAGGAACCATCCAAGGGACAACGCTACCATTAATAGATCCATTCCAGCTTCATGGGTACCTTAAATGGACAGCACCAGCCTCAAGTGGACTATTCCATTTTCTAAGATCTATCCAAGGGACAGAACTGGCCTCAAGAGGTCCGTTCCAGCTTCATGGGTCCCTCAAATGGATTGCGCCAGCCTCAAGTAGACCGTTCCAACTTTTAGATCCATCTAAGGGACGGTGCTGGATTCATTTCACTATGTGAAACTCATTTCGTTTCAAACGTTGAACTATGTTCAACAACGAACAACGAATTTCGTTGAACTATGTTCAACACTATGTGAAACAACGAACAATGAATCGTTTCAAATGAGTTTTCTAACTACGTGAAACTCATTCGAAAGAGGTACAACCAAAGGGACAGAAGGGCAAAGGTTGTGAAGGTGGCCTCGTTATCCATACCCCTGGTCGGATGAATGAAGGACCGACCGGACCCAGGGTTTCACGAGCGTTAGCGGGTTCTGGAGTGCAGCGCCAGCCTCAAGTGGACCGTTCAAACTTCTAGGATCCATCTAAGGGGTGGTTCTAGCCTCAAGAGGTCCGTTCTAGCTTCATAAGTTCCTAAATGGACGGTGTCGGCCTCAAGTGGACCGTTCCCACTTCTAGGATCCATCCAAGAGACAACGCTAGCATCAAGAAGTCCATTCCAGCTTCATTGCTCCCTCAAATGGATGGCGCCAGCCTCAAGTGGACCGTTCCTACTTCTAAGATCCATACAAGGGAGTAGGGATATAGCCTCAAGTGGTCCGTTCCATCTTCATTGGCCCCTCAAATGGACGACGCCGACCTCAAATGGACCGTTCCAATTTCTAGGATCCATCCAAGGGATGGCTCTAGCCTCAAGTGGTCCGTTCTGGCTTCATTGGTCCCTCAAATGGACGGCATTAGCCTCAAGTGGACCGTTTTAATTTTTAGGATCCATCCAAGGGACAACTCTAGCCTCAAGCGGTCCGTTCCAGCTTCATAGTGAAAGGTAACCATGCAAGGATACGTAGCAGAATGTAAAAATTTTAACATCCTAACATGATTATTTTGCCCAGAATCACGTACTAAAACTTATAGTAGTAAGAAATTTATACCTTTGTCCGTAAGCGGTAAAAACGAAGAAGTCGTAGGAAGGGCGTTGAAAGTGCAAACGTAACCGTTCAAGCGTCTGGTCTCCAACTTTGACACACGAATAACGCCGGAGTCTACCATAATCTTTATGCTAGTAAAGGTTATAGTAGTATAAAATATAAAGATTAAAATTGGGATAATAATAATCTTGTATATTTCTTATAGAAAATATTTCAAATAATATTTAGAAAATATTATATATTTTTTCTATAAATAAAATGACATTCATGGAACCCCAAATAATCACTTTCTCTCTCTTAAAATGAATATCCTAATCTTTTCTCAACATTGATGAAAGTGGCATGGAGGAGCATTTAACAAATTCAAAGTTGTGTAATTAATTTGTCATTAGCTAAATGACAAAACAATTAGCCCACTCAAATTCCAATCAAAGAAAAATTTCTCCTTTAAAATCTCTTTTGGCCGTAAGTGTAGATTGTGAGAAGGATTTGTGAAATTCTTCTCCACGTAAATGTTCAAAGTGTATTTTATTTGACATCAAAAATTAATATAAATTAATTTTAAATCAAATAAAAATACCAATATCATTTTTAAACAAATATAAAAATATACTTTAAATAGTTTATGTCAAAATAATTATTTTGATAATTAAAATGACAAATCAAAATAAAATATTTAACATAATATATATATATATATATATATATATATATATATATATATATCTTACATCTAATAAAAAAATGAGAATGAATTTGAACCCTTAGATCTAATCATGCGTGCAGGGGTATAATAGGGCTTCTACATTTCATCCGTCTCTCTCAAACTCTACATTTATTGAGGAGTAATGTCTTTCCTAAAATTATGTCCCAATATCCAGATTTCTCGCTCAAAATTCTTTATCCAACGCTAACCTTTTGGCTAGCGTAGAGCAAAAGGCCGGCGGAGAAGATGAGTTTATTATCAGATCTCGAGAGCGGCTTTAGCAGTGAAAACCACCAGCGCCGCGACGGAGCCGAGTTAGAGGAACGGCTAGCGCTGCTCGGAATTGACTAGTTTTCCTGTAGAACGACCAGCACCAGGTATTGTTTTCAATTTAACTTGAATTACAGAGAATTAAAATGAATTAGAATAATTATTTTAGATACTAATTTCGCCCGATGTTCTGAAATTTGAGTTTTCTAAAAGGGTCAAAAACTAACATTTGAACGATTAGCACCACGTGGTATTGTTGTTGCTCCATTTTACTCATCTTATTGATTTAATGGGAGGATTTCTTCTTTTACTCTGCTTCTGATTTTTTAAAAGTCTAATAAGTGGATGTTTTAGATCCACAAAACATTCATTCCGTTTGTCGACCCAAAACAAAAAGAAAATGAGCACAAAACACTTATTCCTAAAATGCATTGTGATTATTCTAATATAATACATCCATAGTCCAAGATGCAGCATGACAGTGTGTGGTGTTATTCAAAAGGTTATGAATCACAAGTTATTTACACTTTTAAAGAAGTTTTATTAAAATGAATTATGAATGTTTTTCACATTTAAAGAGTTTATATTGAAATTTAATATGAATGTTTTTTGCTTCTAATGATGTACTCTTGAAATGCAATATGATAGCTTTGTTATGACACAATCACAGACAAAGATGCAGTATGAATATTTTAAAGAAGTTTTTATATGTGGTCTTGTGTTCATGTTTTTTTTAACTAATTAAGTATAATTTGACATTCACTATTGTGCACTCTGCACAAGATGGTAATATAACATGTAGTTACAAATGAAATTCTACTTGTTATTGGAATTAATGTAGGCATATTTTTTTTGTTTCTTTTAACAAAATTTCCGTTGCAATCTCATTACATTTATCTTAGGTGGTGATGCACAGATGATGAATGACCTATATCATTTTATGTTTTTTTGTTTGCATATTTAAGTATTTATGGTGCATTTTTTGTACATGATCAATCACCTATATCATTTTGTACTTTTTTGTATGCATATGTAAGTATTTATGGTACATTTTTTATATACTCTATGTTATGGTAAACATGGAGTTGAATATCATGCATCCATAGAAGAAAATACAATATTGGTAGTTGTGGTTCATAGTAAAGCATTTATATGTGAAGGCAGTGCATTCTTAGATTATTATGACACTGTGAATGGATGATGTATTATACCATTGTTTTGTAGGTAGGGGAGATATAATAGAACAAAAAAGGAAGACAACTATCAAGAGAAGAATGCTAGTACCATCAAGAAGTGGCAAAAAGGGAGAGAAATGTTAAAATGGAAAGAAAATAAGAGTTGTGGTTGCTGCAAACATTTATGTAAAAAGATATAATTAGTTGTTTTTTTAATAGAAACAAGATTATATATTACCACTAGATTAACAGAGAGCATTTTTTGTATCGGTATAGTCTTTTGACATTGTTTTGAGTTATGTGTTTATTGAATCATATATGTAAAACTTACATTGGAATTACTTTTCACAATGTTTTCTTTAATTTATTTTACTTCGGTACTTGTTTCTATAATTGTAATTAAGAATTGAAGATCAAAATTACTTTTTTAGTCATTAATGATATGAAATAGATGAACTAGGCAGAAGAGCCATTATTATATATCGTATGTTTATGATGGCAAAAACAATTGAAACTATGATTGCTATATATATACAAGAATGTGAAATAGGTAATGTGTAATAGTAGGGATGCATGTTATTTTCCGGTAATTGCATTGTTGGCCTCTAACAATGCATGCATGATATGTTTGGTCTTCTTGATTTTGTCAAGTAAAATTTACTTTGAACCATTAATACATTTGCCTGAATACTTGTTTTGTTTTGTATTGAATGGGAAGAAAGCAAATATATATACTACTCCTAGATGTAAGTATTAATTTCATTAAAAACCTATGGGGGATTCGAACCCATATCTCCATGTATTTTTACACATGACGCTCTTCCATTGAGCTAATAGGCTTCAAAAATAGCTCAAATAATATTATCTAAGAATACTCAAAGTCATTATGTCATGTTAATATAAATAAATGGAGTAAAAGGAAATTAATTTTGAAGCCAATTGATCAGCTGTAGAGTGCAGTGAGCTAAAATAAACCAACAACCTTCAATATACCTGGTCAGTCACTTTCACATCAATATAGGACAAACAACAAATGAAAGTATACAATGATATTCTTTTACATCATACTCCATAAAATAAATAATGGCCCCAACAATGAGCATAAATGTTCTCTACACGTTCCCCTCCATTTTTGTTATTCCTAACTTTGATAGTGTTCAATTGCACATAATAATTTAGATTTCATACCCCTTTCTTCTTTCTAGATGCCAAAACTGGTATGTATGATCTACATACTTGGTGACCTTCTAAAATAAGTGTTGCAATATGTACATGATGCATTCTCTTTTAGTACAAAATGCACCATAGTGATATCATTTTGCAGTCCTCTTTAATAAAATATTCCAAAGAATACCATATTGCTCTAATCTTGAAAAACAACTAATAATGCTCCTAAATTATAATTTAGGAGCATTCTTTGCACCAAAACTGCAATATTTGTAACACTCTTAGCAAAATTCATAATAAGAATAAGATTCTTGGCAAACCCATCGACTTGCTCCGTACCACAACCAATAAAAAACCTAATCTTGAACAAATGTTTCATCAACCTATGAAAAACTATCCAATTTATGCACTATCACCCAACTGTATGCAACTACAATGCACTACCACACAATTTTTCAAATATGACTATCACCCAATAGATTCATTTAAATGTACTAAAATACTTTATCATGCACTACAATTTAATTTGAAAGCACACGATCTATAAGTCTTTATAATGGAAATCAATCATTCAACTATCATTAAAAAACAGTGCATTCAAACCACTAGTAATTCAGTTCTTAACAAAAACCTGTGCATTCTCACTAAAATGCTCTACATTGAAAATTTTAATTTACAACACTTTCAAACTAGTGTTTATTCCAACAATGGTGCATTTTCTATGAATAATTTATTCAGCCATTTTGTAATATACAGTTCCCAACAACAATGCATTCAAACTCTGATACCCTGCATTGTAAATAATTAATTCATACATATTATTAATGAATATGTTTTTTAGCGATGATGCATTACCACTATTTGTTAATTCATAATGCGTTATAACAAGTTGCAACTTTGTAATGCATTTTCTGACCAAAATTGTGTAAAATGTTGTCTAATGCCGCCACAACCCTAACACCCCCAAATTCGTATTTCATCCATAACCAACTGGTTTTCGTAAAAACTAATGGAGAAATTTATAGATCCTTCATCCATTGACCATTAGTTAGTTAAATAAAATGCAAATTACCGCAAGAATTCAAAAACAACGTACTTGAAGATGATTAATCATCCATGCGTCGCTGTCTTTCATCACCATCGCATGGAGGTCTGTAGAAACCTATGCTTGTCTCTCGTCATTAGCACAATTGGTCGCCATCAGACCTACTTGAAGATGCAGCATCATTGCTAATTGTTCGGATCCAAAAAGTGTAGAACTCTATTGAGGGTGCAGACAGTTAATGGCGGATAATTAAGAGTCCAACCAATCCACGTTTTCTAATGCACTTTTTGGTTCCCTAAAATGCCCTTACATTAAAGTTCTTTCCTAATTATTACAAATGTAATCTCCCTACATGGATTACTGAGATCTAAATTTGGGCATCTTCTAAGAGTCATTCTCACAGGAACTGCACCCTATATATATATATATATATATACATATACATATATATATATATATATATATCGGTGTTATCATACATATATTAAATATATATATATATATATATATATATATATATATATATATATATATATATATATATATATATATATATATATATATAAACGAGTGAATTTCATAATTGGTCCTTTATAACAGGGGGTTTCCTTATTTGGTCCTCTATTATCAAATATTACCCCACTGGTCCTTTTATGGGTATCTTTCCACAAATAGTCCTTTTTTTATTTTTATCATGTTGGTATTAATTTGAGGGCTAAAACTATAATTTCGCAATGATAATATATCTTTTTTGTCATACACAACTCCAAAGGCTGTTCCGTTTCCATTGTTTGTGAATTAAGTCGCTTTTTACTACAACTATAGTCTACAAATGTAGTCTTTCGCCGGAATCCTAGCCCACAATCATAGTCATTATTTTTGTGTTATCTGCTTAACCAATATCAGAACACGTCACTAGGCATAATGTTGATGTCAAATTATACTTTTAGCCTTTTAAATTAATACTAACATGGCAGAAGATCAAAAAAGGACCATTTGTGGAAAGACACCCTTAATATTTGATAATAAAGGACTAAATATGGAAACACTCCTGTTATAAAGGACCAGTTATGGAATTTACTCTATTAAAACGGATATATATAATATATATTATACTCCAAAATATTTTATTTTACTATTTTACAAATATACAAATTACTTATTATCTCATTGTTTAATCCTACTCCTTAAATTGTCCAAAGTGTGTGACCCGTATAAGCACTTATAAAGCTGGCCACAGTATTGGCTCACATGCATTAACGATACCCCATTCTCGTTAATACTCGACTATGGACATTCATATAAATATTTATTTCAAGATGTTAGTCTCATAAGCAGAATAACACTATCTGAGAAATATCTTTAAATATAAATCTAGGAATATAATATTTGTTTACATTAGCATGAGATGTGTAAACATATTATATCTGCCTATACATGATAGAATAACGATAAACAGTTGGCCATCAGGGCACAACTCCAACACATAGTTCCCTCAAATGGACGATTCTAACCTCAAGTGGTCCCTTTCAGCTTCATAGGTCCCTCAAATGGACAGCGCCGGCCTCAAGTGGACCGTTCAAACTCTTAGGATCCATCCAACGGAAGACGCTAGCCTAAGTAGGTCCATTTCAACTTCATCAGACTCTCAAAGGGACAACGTCGGCCTCAAGTGGTGCGTTCCAATTTCTAGGGTCCTTCTAAGGATTACATCTAAGGAGCAAAGAAGTCCAGTTGTCCACTGTCCAGACTTCTTCCGTCCTCCAAGGAGGAAGGGAGTCTAGCAAGCATCAGTCATCCATTGTCTAGAGTTCCTCCATCCTCTTAGGAGCAAGCGAGTCCAGTGAGTTGTTCACTATCCAGAGTTTCTCCATCCTCTAAGGAGAAAGGGAGTCCAATGAGTTGTTTGTTGTCCACTGTTTAGAGTTCATCGTTCTCCAAAGAGGAAGGTAGTCTAGTGAGCTTTCAGCCATCCACTGTCCATAAATCCTCATTCCTCTAAGGAGCAAGGGAGTCCAATGAGCTGTGCGTCGTCCACTGTCCAGAAATCCTCCGTCCTCCAAGAAGCAAGGGAGTCTAGTGAGGTGTCCGCCGTTCATTGTCTAGAGATCCTCCGTCCTAAAGGGGGCAAGGAAATCTAGTGACGTGTCCGCCATGCACTGTCGAGAGATCCTCCATCCTCAGGGGAGCAAGGCAGTCTAGTGAGGTGTCCGTCGTCCACTGTCTAGAGATCCTCCGTTCTCAAAGGAGCAATGGAGTCTAGCAAGAATGTCCGACCATTGTCTTGCGAGTCCTATCCATAAGAAATACAATAGAAGTGTTGTACAAGTTGGGAAAACCAATACTGTAAAAAAGTAGAGAGTAGAGATCGGTAATTCGGTCGGAGTTAGGTGATCGGATTACTGGAGATAGTGATAGACTCTTTCGTACCAAGATAGAGAAAAGAGTTAACGGGAAATGTCTATCCTTTAATAAGATCGGAGCGCTTAACCACCGTGAAATAGATATAGGGTTGTGGTTTTAGAGGCTCCCAAAGAATATTAAAAAGCAAGTCCAAAGAAAGTCCTCTCCCAAAAGGCACCAAGTCGAAAGAAAGTCCTCTTCCAAGAGCCCCAAGAAAAAAAGAAAAGTCATTTTCCAAGCGGCACAAATCCCCGAGAAAAGTCCTCTTCCCCGAAGCACCAAGTCCTCTTCTCGAGGCACTAAAAAGAAAGAAAACTCCTCTTCTAAGAGGCACCAAATCAAAAGAAAACCTTCTTCCAAGAGGCCCAAGAAAGAAAGGAAAGTCCTCTTCCAGGAGGCAAAAATCCCTGAGAAAAATCCCCTTCCCCGAGGCACCAACTCCTCTTCTCGAGGCACTAAAAAGAAAGAAATGCCCTCTTCTAAGAGACACCAAGTCCAGAGAAAGTCCTCTTCCAAAGAGCCACAAAGTCCTAAGAAAGTCCTCTTCCAAGAGGCACCAAGTCCCGAGAAAGTCCTTTTCCAAGAGGCACCAAGTATAAAGAAAGTCCTCTTTCAAGAGGCACAAATCTTTGATAAAAGTCCTCTATTAAGAGACCAAATCTCGAGAAAGTCCTC